CTCCTGCGACCAGGCCTCTTGGCTTCTCTGCTTGACTCCTGCCACATGGGTCCATTGTTGTCATCGAGGACTTTTGTGCAACCAGAGTTGCCTGTGCCAGCCTATGGCTTGACAAAGCCGGGGCCCTCTCTCTCGGTACCGGACCCCATCCATCCTGAACCCTTGCTGCTCCTTCGTAGCTCTGCTCGGCTGGGGTTCCTGTTGCTGCTCTTTGGCTTGTCTTGGCCAGGTTTACTGCTGCTCGCCTCGGACTCCGTGCAGATTGGTCCGCTCCCGTCCGCCCGAACCCCTTGCCGAATCGGCCCTTTCTTGTCGGCCTATGGGGTGTCGCAGCCCGAGCTCCTTCTGCTTGTACCAGACCTCGTGAAGATAGGCCTTTCCCTTCTGCTGCAGGCCCACTTCAGACCAGGAAGCTTGCTGCTGGCTTCTGGAGTGGCTAGGATGGGCTTATTGCTGTTGGTTCTGGACCCTGTGCACTCAGACTTGTCGCTCTTGCTGCGGACTTTCGTGCAAATTGACAGCGTGTTATCGGTCTATGGCATCGGGTGGCCGGGCTTGTCACCCTCTGCGCCGGACTTCGCTCAGGCCGACTTCTTGCTGTCCACACGCACGTCTGCTCGCATCGGATCCGCCTTGCTGGTGTACGGCCTAAGCCAATCGGAGCCGTTGTTGTTTGCTCCGGATTCCTCTCTCTTTGGTTCGCCGCTGCTACTGCAAAGCTTCCTTTGACTTGAAAGCTTTTTGTTGGCCTCTGGCATGAGCCTACCCGAGCCCTTGCTGTCAACCCTAGACCCTGTGCACACTGGGCCACCGTCACTGCCTCGCACACTTGCATGAGCAGGGCCGACGTTGCTGGTCTCTGGAGTCTGCAGACTAGGTCCGCTGCCTCCCGTTCCAGATCTCTTGCACTCAGGCTCCTCCCTGTCTCTTAGAAGCCATATGCGCTTGGAGCTGGCAATGCTCGTGTACGGGATGGCCCAGCTCGGCCTGTCGCTCCTTGCCTCGGACCTTGTCCACTCAGGATCGAGTCCGTCGCTGAAGACCTTCTTGCGGACGGGCTTTGCACCTCCAGCGTTCGGCCTATCCAGGCTGGACAGTCCTTTACCTGTGCTGGACCCCGTGCATGCTGGCAGCTTCATGCTGGCAAAGACTCTTGCCTGCCTTGGCCTCATACTGCTTGTGTTTGGCATGTGCTGCCTTGGCCTATTCTTATCACTTCCGGACCTCGTGCACTCAGAGCCCCCGTCATTTCTCAGGGCCCTTGCACAGTGTGGCAGCGCTCCGTTTGCGTATGGCATTGCTTGCCTTGAGCTGACGCCCTCCGCACCAGATCGTGCCCACTTTGACTTGCCACCGCCTCTGCACTCCCACATGCAAACTGGCAAGTCCTCACCCGCTTACGGTACAAGTTGTTCAGATTTGCCGCCCCTCGCTCCAGATTTTGCAATAATTGGGCCATGCTTACCCTTGCAGTCTCACATGTGGCTAGGCCTTCTCTTATCTGCCTACGGCATGGTGCAGTTGGAACTTCCATCACTCGTGCTGGACTTCATCCGACTTGAGTCAGGCTCGTTTTTGCATGGTCCTGCTTGTCTTGGGCCATCACCTCCGTCGTTTGGGGTGGCGTGGCTGGACCCGCTCTTGCCTGCTCTCGATTTCGCCTTGATGGGTTTGTTGCCACCTGTTCGAAGCTTCGCCTGACCAGGCTTGAGTCCACCCACTTCTGGAATGACGCGTTCAGGCCTGCTGCTTCCTGTGCTTGATCTCGCATCACCAGAGTTACCACTGTCACTCCATGGTATGCTCTGTCTTGAACCAGCCATGCCAACTTACGGAATGTGCTGCTCAGACTTGCTGTCACTTGTGCCGGACCTCA